ATTAGTATTCAAACACTTGATATAAGTCGAAATAAAGTTGGTTTTATCGTCGGAGATATTGGTAAGTTTGTATGAATGATTAAATTTTATTTCAGAATAAATTTCCAGGTAATTTATCGGATATTCGACATCTTCGTTTATCTCAAATGGATCTTGATACACTTCCACCAGAAATAGGTTTCTGTGATAAACTTGAAACAATTGATTTAACTGGTAATCCAATAGATAATTTACCAGAAACACTTGTTGAATGTCGTCAATTATATGAATTTAAAATTAATTATAAAACATTTTATAAACTACTTGATAATTATATGTTAGAATTAATTGATGAAGGAAAAATACGTTCAGAACATATACCACAAGTTATATATGAACTTGAAAGTTTACTTGTATTAGATTTAAATCATTCAAAACTAAATTTCATATCAAACGAACATACATTATTAAATCTTAATGAATTATATTTAGCACATAATTCATTTACTGATATACCTGAATCATTATCTACAATGGATCAATTAAAACTACTAGATATGTCACATAATCGTATTCAAAATATTCCAGAACATTTTATTAAAATAAAACGATTAGAAATATTAAATTTATCAAATAATAATCTTACTATTTTACCAAGTAATATTGCTCAATTGACAACATTAAAAAAATTAATTGTTAGCCATAATCAAATTGATACAATTGAAACTGGATTTTCCCAAAGTCAATCATTAACAGGACTTGATTTATCATATAATAAATTAACATTCGTTTCTGATGAAATATGTTATCTAAAAAACTTAGAAACACTTGATTTACGATATAATCAATTAGTATCACTTCCATTATCTATGCGTCATATAACCGGTCTTAAAAAAATGCATATGTTTGATGATAGATTTCAACGTTTTGGTCTTCATCTATCAGGAAATTCAATAACCGATCCTCCAAGTCATATATGGAAAGGAACTACCGTTAAGAATTTATTTGATTATATGGAAACAAAAGAAAAACGTCTTTTAAATAATTTTTATCATCTAAAATTAATATTATTAGGACCAAAAAATATTGGTAAGACAACACTTTCAATTAAACTTATTAATAATCATAAAATGATTTCAAATACACGAAAAACTCTTGAAATGTATGTATCAATTCTTCAAGAAAAACGATTAGAATTAAATAAAGACGATTCGCCTCAAGCATCAAGTGATATCGCATCATCCGTTCTAACTGATGAATGGATTGAAAATCGTGTATCATCATCTAATAATGAAAATTTCCTTAATCGAAAAGAGAAAATCAAACGAGTTTATCCTCCACCACTTACAACATATCAATCAAATGAATTATTCGAAAATTATATAAATAAATCAACAATTATAACAAAAAATAATTTATATTGTACAATATTTGATTTAACAAGTGAACCGAATTTTGAAATACTTAATCCATTAATTTATGATTCCAATGCTTTATTTATTCTACCAATTAATTTAACTATTCTTTTAAATATTGTTCAAGCAGCATCAAGTTTAGATAATTTCGATGAGTATGTATATTTTAATATAAAACATAAAATAAAGTACAATTTTTTTTCTTTAGAAATGATAATAATATATCAATTATTGATTATGATGCATTATTAACAGATGATTGGTTATATTTTCATATATTTCGTTATATTGAATCAATATCGAATTATTGTAGTCAAGCATCAATTGCAATTATTGGATTAATTAAAAATTATCAATTAGTATCCAATGATCAACAACAACAACTTCTCGATGAAATACATTCGAAAGTAAATATGTTTTTAACTGATGAAGAAAATCAACGAACAAATATAACTTTATATTCGGAATTATTTTCGGAACCAATTCATTTAGATAATGATGATATGTCTAATGTAATTGAAACATTTGAAATAATTTCACAACAATGGAATATTGTACATCATAAAGAAAAACGTCAAATTCTTAAACGAAAATTAGGATTTATGGCACAAGATTCTTTAACAATTGATTATGATATTTGTTTCAAAGATTTTCAAAAACAAAATGGAACATTATCTGCATCATCTTCAGATGATAATGAAGAACAAAAAACTGAAATAACTGAAGAAACAGAACAAACCGAAGGAAAAGAACAAGAAGAGAATAATAACGAAGAAGAAGTAGAAGAAGAAGAGGAAAAAAATGAAATAGTTGAAAATGAAATCAATCAAATGACATTTGATGAATGTCTTGATTATTTAAAAATTACAGGTGATATTATTTACTTTAATCAAGGTTCACAAAAAATAATTCTTATAAAACCATATTATCTACTAAATAACGTTTTATCACGTACTGTATTTCGTCCGCATATCGATCAATGGTTAAATTATGATGAAAATATGATATTTCATTTTGGTGGTTATTATCCTACGAAAGAATTATTTGATATTGATCGACAACGTTTATTAACACGCGGAGAATATACATGGAAAATGCTTAGTATTTTATTTAAAGAACAAAATAATAGTACTCATAATTTAGTTGAACAAAATCTTATTGATTATTGTCGTTTAATGGAGCGTTTATATCTTGGTTATGTTAATGAATCAAATTTAAATTGTAAAAAAAAACAAACGAAAAGTTTTCTGTTTAAATTAATTATTTTTTTTGTTTATGTTTTTAGATCAAGAATTTACAACACTTTATTTTATATGTCCATGGTTAATGAATGAGAAATCATCGGATATTGATTATAAAGATTATTTTAAATTACTTGAACAAAATCGTATATATGAACATTTTAAATGTGAACGAACAAGAAAAATTAAACAACAACAATTATGGTTTGCTGCAGATATTAAAAAAGCACATATTCCAAATGTTGACTTAATACAAGAAAATGCAGAAAAATCTACTGACGATCAATTTCCTAAAATTGATGATGTACCATTAATCAATGAAATACAAGTATCAAATTCACAAATAATTAATCAAGGTAAAATCGAAACATTTAAAATTGTTAATGAGAATTCAAATTTTCTACCAAATGGTCTTTATGAAAGATTATTAATATGTTTACATGCTTTATTTTATGAACGACTTGATTATTATAATATTACTATAGGAAGAACTGTAGAAAAGAATTTAATTAAAATTGAACGATCTGATTCTGAAACAGAAATCAATATTACAATTAGCAGTTATCTACTCGAAACTATACAAAATCTTCTCATTCAAAATCTTTTCTCATTCTATCCTACAATTAATCTCCGAATAGAAACATAAAAAAATTTTTCGTATTTCTTTTTTTTTGTTCATTTCTTTTATTTATATAGTTTTTTTTTCTTTATATGACAATAAAAAAAAATGTGAGAGACAAAAAAATATTCGTCATATGAGAGGAACAAACTACGCAGCAATATTACATACAAATGAAACGAAACCCATATGCGACAATCTAGATATTTATATATACACAGAGAGACACTGTTGGTTAATTTTTATCATGAGAAAAATGCAAACAAAATCAGCTAATGACTAGTCACTAGCTGCAGGAGGTGGTGAAGTTGTTGTAGTTGTTGCAACATTAGTTCTTTTATCTGTTGCTGATTTACCATCTTCATTATCATCATTATCATCATCTTCCATTATTTGTTGATCAATATACTCACGTACACGTCGTTCATAATCACGACGATGATTTTGATAGAGCATTGCTGCTTCTGAATTAGCTGGTGAAGCTGGATTTGGATCAGTTAATAATGAACGAATAGAAACTAATAATGTTGAAACATCTAAACTTGCACTCCAACGTTGTTGTAATATATCCAGGCAAATCGATCCATCCATATCTATTTAAAAAAATATATGTATTTTATGTTAAAAAAGAATATGTATTTTATCTTACATATATTTGGATGAAATACTTTTGTAACAAATTTCACATCCGGTGGATGATTTGGATAATCTTGAGGGAATTTAAGTGTTAAAACAAAACTAGCATCTTCAAAAAGACTATCATCGGGTCCGTCTAGTATGGCATTCCATTGGAAAATATTATCTGCGCTAACTGGTGCTGCATTAATACCTTCAACGGGATTTTGTGTTAAATCACGTAAATCACGCATTAAACGGCGTTGAGCTGTTGTTGATGTTGTTGTTGTTGGATTTGATGTCGAAGACATAATTTTCTTTTTTTTAAATAAAAATATCTATAAAATCAATACACATAAAACATGAAGGACAAATAAAGTACGACAAGAATCATGTGTGTATGTACATGTATGTATATACATGTATGTCTGTCGATACAAAATGAAAGAAACTATTTTGTTGAATACAAATAACAGTCATAGATATCATTTCTATAGATCAGCTGATGATTATCCTCGTGAGGTTATTGTTAGTGCAAATTTCTAATATTTGGATATAACCTAGTATTATAATTATCTAAAAAAATAAAGAAAAAACAAGATTGGAATTAACCAATGAGAGAATAAAGATGGCGTGATTGTTTGTTTATTGAACCTGATTGGTTTTAACTGAGTTTCGATAATGATTTTTACTCAGTTGAATATAATATTATTTGAATTTACTTATAAATCGAATCTTAAAGAAGCAAAAAAAGTAGATAAGTCAAAATGTAACTACTATTGTGGAAAGATTATCTGAACTTTTTCTTTAAAACTTTGCCTAATTTAATGTCAGCAATATTGTCCGACGGTCACAGTTGTTGAACTTTCTTTATTTCTAAATGTATTCATAGAAAATTTCATGAAAAGTGACTGTTCATATCTAGAAATTTATTTTTATGCTATGATAACAACTTGTTTATTTGATAGAAGAATGCAACCTTTTCATCTCATTTCCTGTATAATCCTTTTGGATTTATTTCGTAAATATTATCGAGTTTATGCTATGCTCGCTATAATTCCGAAGCAAACTTTAAATTATTTACTGATTCTTGAATACTCCAAACTTCAATTTTCAGCCCAGAGTTGGAACCGGCCGGACTACTTTTGACGTCAGACTTGCAAAACTCTGACAAAATTATGAATGTATACAAATATTTTTGTCACACGCTCTTTTTCAACTAAAACAAATACGTATAACAATTCCTAACATGATATTTCAAAAAAAAAAACAAATAAAGATTAGTTTTGTAAGAAAAAAATTTGAAATACAAATATAATTTTCTAATTTTATGAACCAGTAAAAATTCGGTTTTGTCCGGACCGGAACCGTTCCAACTCTGTTTCAGTCATTGACATCGATATTTGACATATGTTTTTAAGTACCATAAAGATCTAGGTCACTATGTAATCGCATTGTTAAAAGCAATGGAAAATAAAATCCGAATCTTTTGACTTTATCAACGTATTTTAGATCATATGAAAATTCTCAGAGATTTATAGATAAATAAAATTCAAGTGATTATATCTCTTTACAATGATTTAATTCAGAAAAAAGAAAGACAGACAATGTTTGAAATAAGCTGAGGAATATTATTCACTCAAGCTGTTGATCTGAGCAAGAAAAAATGGAGACACTATGATAAACTTTGTCGAGAATCATTCTTGTCATTATCCTTCATATACTATCGCGCTTGACGAAGTTGTCCACCTTGTTGACCACCACGACCACCACCACGTGATCCTTGATGTCCGCCACGATTACCGCCACCACCACCACCTCTACGATTATCACCACCGGGTCCTCCAGATCGACCACCATGTCCTATTAGCAAGAAAAGAATCAAGAAAATATCAGTAATTATTTAATATTTTATTATTTACCTCCACGTCCACCATCACCACGACCACGAAATGGACGACGTGATGATGGTCCAGATCGTGATGGTTTTTCATTAACATCCTCTTTGACAAGTGCAAGCACATCTTCTGGTAATCTAAGATATTTTATAGTATTACCACGTATATAACATTCAGGAATTTTCCAAAATCGATCACCGTCCTACAATTAAAACTAATCAAAATTCTAATTTTTAAAAATATAAACTTACTCGAGATGTACAAACAACATCACGTAAATGAATATTCATAAAATTATCACAACTAATCAAATGTCCATTATATGTTTCGCCATTTTTCAACTCTACTAACTATTCAGAAACAATATAAAATTCTGTTAATTCAATAGATCACTTACCATAGGATGATAGACAGCCGTTCGAAGAAGTGTCAAAGGTAGCTACAAAATAAATAAATAATATACGATGATTTTTTAATCTATTTATACTTTGACTCACCATCTAAAATAAAAATGAATACAAAATATTTTATGTCTAAAACTTTTCTATAAATTATATAATATATATATTTTTAAACTGTGTTCTTTTCGAATTACGACACTAATCTCTATATGATGTTAATAATTGATACTGAAAGAAAAGTTGACGTAATTACATTATCTTAGATATTGTTCGATAATATATCAAACTTAACATATATTTTAGACAAAATACATAAAGATACGATTAATTCTATTAGGAATAGAACAGCAAATAAGTCGGCTTTAGTTTCTTTAACTCAAATATGAACTATATATACTTTCTTTCCAATAATAATAGCTACTACTATTTCTAGAATCATCGTCGATATCAAGAGTATTTATAATCTTAGGAAAAGCTTGCATCATTCGTCGTTAATTCTTCTAAAAGTCTTATTTAATAAAAAAATGACTTCTTCTTGTATGCCGATATAGATTTCTCTGTTGGCATTGGTTATTATCATAAGACCACTGACGAAACTTTTAACTATAGAGATCGCTCTAGACATATATGAACAATAATTCATATGGATTTTTACGATTTCGATTGTTACCTAATAATCGAGACAATTTTCTTCATAAATTGATTATATAATATCTAGTTAGAAAGTCATACTTTTTTTATGATAATTTTTGCAACAGAAAATTAATTAGAATATCTATTTCAATATATATATAGGTGAGTAATAATCATTTCTTATGCAGAAAAATATTTCAAGTATTTTCTGACTCATTTCAAATTATGATTGATAAATAAATTACATATATCAACATATAGATTGCTACCGCTATTTTTATTCATTTCAAACAAGCTTCGAAAATTATCATAATATCGACATATATGATTCTTATGCATTCAATAAATGATTCATTTTTATGGCAAATATTTGTTTGTCATAGAAGTAACTTTCAATCATAACGATATAGTTGTAGACTTTGATACAATTGTATACGACATATTAACAATCTATTCGAATACTGTGTTCAATTGTGTTTGTGTTCATCGACATATGTAATGTTTTTTCGCTTCTCTTATTTGTTCTGTTCTTTGTATGAAACCAAAAAGAATACAAATACATATAGTGAAGCATATAGACATGCTGTTTTTTCTTATTAAGTTATGACCAAACCAACACAGGTATACGTCATGATAGACTGTCATTTCATGCATTATATTGTACGGAGCCGAGAAACCTCATGTATAACATAATGATTGTGTTACGGTAGACGATGAAAATAAAAGTCATCATTTAGTATAAAGTTAAACAGTGAGTGACTTCATCACAGAAGAAAAGAACAAGGTAAAAATCATGTATATATATTTTGCTTGTTACTCCATATTAACTATTATTTTCATCTCAGTAGTGTGATTTCTGATACTAACATTGCGAATAGTTTAAGTAGATTATTGTAGAATGTCTTCATAGCCAATTTTATTTTTTGAAAATAGTTGTGATAATATTTTAACAATGAGAGACGATACGATAAATATTATTAAAATATCAATGAAAAATAATAACGAATATTTGCATATAACTAGATGTGTCTTAATATTTACATTTATCAAAAATTAATATGAATCTATTTTTGTAATAGGTAAAAGTAAATTTATATTTGTTCTTACATCATCAAGGAATGTAACAACGACGCTACTATGCTTTCATGTATTCTTGAAAATGAATACGCATATATTAAAAGTACTTCTGCGTAAAGTTGACAATTTATTCAGAAGTGACACTTGAAATTCAGCCTCTACTTATATCAGACTAAGTTTATTATTCATGATCAACGTAAAGATTTAATTCAAAATGATCATTTCTCACATACAGTCCAGCTATGTCTGATTGCAGTATGAGAGTCTCTTATTTATAGCAATGCCATTACGACAAGCAGAGATACTTCATCTGCATGAAATATTATTGATGTATGCCACATAACGAGCTTTTTTTAAAGACATTTAACTACAGAAAAGTAAAAAATTAATTCGAGAAAAATCAATAGTATTAATTAATTTCATAAACTGGAGTATTGTTGCTGACGTCATAAGAATAGAGCATACTAGTATCTTGTACGTTATTCTATCATCTTTCAACTCATTGTAATACATATATTACTAATGTTCTATGTTTTTCTCTTGTCTCTATTGCATTTTTTATTTTCTTATTGGTTGCGTTAATGAGTCAGTTTGCTGTAGGAAGCAAAATATATCTTTTTATTTTAATAATAGATTGCTACACTTGTAAAAGAGACGATTATTTGGCTCCGCCACTAGTTATATAAATATTAATATATTTCGTTAAGTTTTTGTAATGGTTTCGCCAATCAACCAATAGAATCTAATAGTGGTTTCTTTCTTTCTTTCTTTCTTACTCGGTAGTTTTTTTGCTAGATTGCACTTTGGCCTTTTAAGCTTTTCGACAATGGCTGCTGTAGTTCAAAATCAATTACGTAAAGTTGAAGAAAAACTTAAGCCATTTTTATATGAAGGTCCTTTTAATTCAATTGGGGGTCTTATTGAACAAAAGACAAAAGTTAAACGTGAACAAGTAGCATTAGGTATTTATTAATTCCTATTATTTTTCTTTCGCTATTTCTCATCTTACCATTTGGCTACTAGGTTTACTTGCATTTCTTGCTATTTATTTATCATTTGGTTGGGCAAATGATTTTATCTGTAATCTTATCGGATTTATCTATCCGGCTTATGCTTCGTAAGTTTCCATTTTTATTGAGTCAAACTTATTGTTTTGTTGTTTGAAGAGTTTTAGCTGTTGAGTCTAAAATGACACATGATGATACAGAATGGTTAATCTACTGGGTTGTCTATGCTGTATTTGGTATTATTGAATACGTAGGATATAATTTCTTTCATAGTTTACCATTTTATTGGTTTGGTAAATGCGTTTTTCTTATATGGCTAATGGCTCCAGGACCAAAAAGTGGTTCTCAAGTTTTATATAGTCGTTTTATTCGTCCATTTGTAGCTAAACATCAATCTACCATTGATAAACACATTTCAAATGGTAATGCAAAACATACCCATTTTTTTATTTCATAAATAAGCTTTTTTTGTTTTTTTAGCCAGTGGATATATAAACAAAAACATAAACAGTAGCAACGAATAAAATATTTGCTAACTCAACAACGAACAATATTGAAATATTTTCTTTTTTTTTTGTGTTATCTCTTCTTTTTTTAAACGAACTATTCGTAGATAGAATCAACGAAAAAAAACATCGCTTTTTATTTTACCCTTTTGTTTTTAAGTACAATTTTTGTCTGATTATAACAATCTTGATTTCTTATTAATTTGTGAGCTACTTAAAAAAGTTAACTTAATTTTTTGCAATAAAACTTCTACTATTACATAGTGATGTAAGGATACTAACACAACAGAATTACTTTTAAGTATTCTTTTGACAAATAATTAAAAAAAAATCTTACCTAATAGCATAGGTCAATATGAATCGAGGATTCGCTTGATTAGTTTTCTTTTGTTTTGATCATTATATAAATGATTGTATGGGTTCGAAAAATAATAATAGTAAATGTAAAAGTTCGCCCTTCAATACAATAAATAATAATACGAAAAATATAATATAATTTTTACGATTATGACAAAGAAAGTGGCGTACGTGTACAAGAAGCGGCGTCTTGTCTACACAGAATGTGTAAACTATGGTGTGTATTGTGAGAAACGAACCAATTTATATCTATAATCGAAAAATGTAAAAAATTTTCGGATGAATTTCTTTTAAATATGTTCTACTGTTTGATTATTTCTATATCAACCACAAAAAATAGTCGACAATCTTTTTCTTCAATCGAATAGAAATCATACTGAAAGTTTGTTACAATTGAAAAGACTGATTGTAATTATGAGGATCATATTAGTTTACTAGAATTTCTTCATACTGTTGATTAATTAGTCTCTCATTCAGCTGATACAAATTATGATAATCGAACCAATCTATACAAAATACAGCCATATCTTGAATTTTGATTTTCATAAAGTAGTTAATTATATATTTTAATTTTGAATAGTATCATTCATTATTCTATATAAAACGACGAGATCGATCGAGTAATGTTAACTAAAATTCATATACTTATGACTGAACTTTTTTTTGTTTGTATTCTTTCACAGTTGTAGACTAAAAGTTTACTATTTGTGATCTGATTTTTAAAGACTTGTGTATCACATTTGTTCCAGGGTCGTTCATTTGTAAATGATACAGTTTTTCCTACATAACTAACACTTCAAAAAACAAGGTCAAGAAGATTTTACTTGCTCATGTTCACGGAGCATTTTGAGTTCAAAAGTAATATAATTTTTGACTGAATTCATATCTACTCTATCGATCACTATTAGATTTTGCGAGTTATAATGAAATCATTACTACACATGAGCTGTGAATAATAATTTCTGAATTCAATCTATCATAATTCATTTACAATATGATCGGGAAGTGTTGAAAATGATCGACAATCAAGCTGAATGATTCCATCACATAGTGACATCTATGTTAATATTTAAAAATAGATAAATTTAATTGTAAAGATTTAAATTCTTAAATATCTCCTATTGATTTTTATTATACATATCAGAAATAATAATTTTAGTTGTCGTTTGTCAAACCTCTACCATATGTTTCGACAAAGAAACATAGTCATGGTGTTTTGAAACAATAAAAAGTAAGCAGGTATCGTGTACGAAAAGCAGACATACATACATACATTGTGCATTGATAGGCAAAGCGCCACCTTCTACATATTTTAATATGACATTTCAAATTTTTTTCAAAATTTTAGATTGTTGTATTTGTCTTAATTAATAATTAGCGAGAATGACTGCTCGCGATCAAATTCGAGCTATGTTGGATCAATTGATGGGATCCGATAATGGTATGTTAATTAGAAAACTTATATTTATTTTTAATTAGTAAGAAAATTATGTATGATTTATTCAAGAGTTTAAGTTTTAAACTTTAAATTTTGTGTATTTTAATAGTAGCGCCTTGTTTCTCTTCTTTTAAGGCGCAGAGAGTCCATTTTTCATTGATTGTGACTATCTACTATGTCTTACATTGGACGATCTCGTGAGTGTCATTTATTTTTTTTAGTTTTCTCTTTGTCTATCGTCGATTAAACAATTAATCCCTTATGTATATACACATTCTCTCTCGCTCTCTGTGAACGATATGTTTTTAGTTAATGTCATGATGCATTTATCAATGAGTTATGACTCACATCAGCAGCTACAAAATAAATATATCGTGAGTATATAAAAAAATGAGAAAGTGGCTTTTCTGCGATATAAAAATTAGAGGGTACGTATCTCACAATTCGAGGAGATTAGGTAAGTATATATATATAAGAAAGAGTTCAGATTTTTACGTACGTATTCATATTTATATTGAAGAATTTCAGACTGAATATGAAATAATCATATAATCCAATTCTAGGTGTCACAAAATCAAGTATGTCATTTGAAGATCCACGTGTATGTCGACCATTTTTATTAAATTGTTGTCCACATGAAATTCTTACTGGAACCGTAAGTAAATTTAATATTATTGAAAAAAATTTATTTTGTTCTTTTTAAGAGAGTTGATTTAGGTGAATGTCGAAAAGTACATGAATATGCTTTGCGAGCTGATTATGAACGAGCAGCACCAACACGTAATTTACATTATGAACGTGATGTAAGATTATATTTTCTTTTATATGTATAAGAAACAAAAATTTTACTTTTAATTATAGGCCTTAGAAGTCTTAAAACAATTTGTTGCTGATGCTGATCGAAAAACTGAACATGCTAAACGAAAACTTCGTGAAACACAAGAAGAATTAGGTGAAGAAGCTGCACGAAAAGTAAGACAATATACATTTTTGTTTCTATTGAAGAAGTAATATTGTTTAGATGAATTCAATTCATGAATTAGGCGAACAGATTGGTACAAAATTAGCTAGAGCTGAAGAATTAGGTGCACAAGGTTTAGTTGATGAATCAATGAAATTATTAGAAGAAGTTGAAGAATTACGAAAATCAAAAACTGATTCTGAACAAGAATTTCGTGCAACAATGCCAGCATCGACATATCAACAACAAAAATTACGTGTTTGTGAAGTATGCTCAGCTTATTTAGGTATACATGATAATGATCGTCGTTTGGCAGATCATTTTGGTGGAAAATTACATTTGGGTTTTATACAAATACGTGAAAAATTAGCTGATTTACAAAAACGTGTTAGTGATTATAATGAAAAACAAGAATTAGAAAGAAAGACACGTCGAAGGTATGTATATATATTCAACAGAATATTTATTAAGGACAGATAAAATAAATTTCTTTCATTTTAGTTCACCTTCAGCATCATCATCATCTAGGAACGATCGTGGTGATAGAAATGGAAATGATTATCATAGTAGAGATCATCGTACATCACAACGTAGTCGAAGTCGTAGTCGATCAAAAAAAGTTTCTAGTCGAGACAAGGATCGAAGACGATCACGATCGAGGTAAAATAAAAATATTTAACAATTAAAAACTTTTTCATTTTTCTATGTTTAGATCTACACATCGTTCATCAAAACATACACGAAATTATCGATCATCACGTTCACGTTCACGAGATCGACGACGTCATAAACGTTCTCGTTCACGGTAAATACATAGTAAAAATAATATATTCCTACCGCAATTGTTTCTCTATTATAATTTTAATTGATAACTAATAAAATGTATAACCTAAAGCATATTCTTTCGGCGAGTTACTTTCGGTAAAACAAACAGTTTGTTCGATCAATAATACTTAGTTAAAAGAACAAAACGTCTTCTATTGAGACTAGTATACTGAAAGTCTTCAAACGTTGTGCTTCATATACCTTCAGTGGGAATAGCCAATATTTTAAAATAACATCTGCATAATACAATAAGACATATGGCTATCAAATTGTCAAGGAACGTAAAATTCATTTGACACATAGATTTCATAGTGACAGAAAACTTCTTTCACATTTAATGATAATTCATTATAAGTTCTTGAAAAATGAAATTCACGATAAACCATGAATTTCTAGAAAAGAACGAATCGCATGACTACAAAGTATGAACTCTCTATTGTTTCCCTCGTTGGATATAATGAACTTATGAGTATGTTTTGTTTTTACAAATACTTACTGGAAAATTTCTGTTGAATTATGAATACTGAGATAATGAATTTTAATTTAGTTCTGGTTCATCACGTCGTCATCGTCGTTCTCGAACACCAACTTCTTCGTCTCGTCGACATCATCGTCATCGACATGATTCACGATCACCTGTATCAAATTCTAAATCAAATGGTAATAATGATAATACTCGACCAGCAGATTCCACAACTACACATGTTGATGATGATGAAGAAACCACACGTATTCTAGAAGATATTCAACGAAGTATGAAAGAAGATAATACGAAAGAACCAACAAATATACCGATGGAATAAAAAAATTCAATAAAAAAAAAGACTTCATCTTATCATCTGTATAGATTTTGTTTCTTGTGTGTGGTAATTATGTTCGTCTTCTTCTTCTCTATTTGAAAATAGAAACTGGTCTACTATATAATAAAATAAAAACTGAACTTCTTCATTTTTGTTTCTCTTCTATTATTCTGTTATTATTTATTTCAGATAAAAAGAAACCGCACGAAAATTACAAAAATAGAGGTCGATTTCGAATTCCGTCTTGGTTGTTATTTAATTATCTGGTTATTCATTACTCTTATTGCTCTTTTTCTTGCTTGGTATCGTTACGGCAATAGTATTGTACAACAATTATCTAAAACATGTAAGTTATTTTAATCGAATTGCTTAATACATATGATTAGTTAGGATCGAGATCGTGTTTCTGCACAATTTTATCATAATTGTCTAGAGTCGAAAATCTCGAAAATTATATCGAATCCCATTTTGAAATAATCCTATATGATGATTTCAAAAGTTTGATCCGATACATAT